TGAAGGTTACTCACTGCCCAGTTACTCCATGAGTAACGCAGAGTGAAAGTTACTCACTGCCCAGTTACTCCATGAGTAATGCAGAGTGAAGGTTACTCACTGCCCAGTTACTCCATGAGTAACGCAGAGTGAAGGTTACTCACTGCCCAGTTACTCCATGAGTAATACAGAGTGAAGGTTACTCACTGCATGCTCAGTTTGCTGCTTGTAACTTTTCATCTTCAGCTGCATTTGGTCAATAACTTCCTGTAGCCTTTTTAAATTTTTTTGATCTTCTTCAGTCTGTTTAAAAAAATATAAATGAAGTGAGTGAACTGTGTGAAAAACCAGAATCACTTGGAAAAGTAACACCAGATCGTCCTTGTTTTTGCTCTGACAGTCATGCGAGGTTATTGGTGAGTTAATTCTGACCAGTCAGGGTCACTCTCTGAGAGTGGGGCTATACAGGTTGTCTTGATACTGAAGATAAGGTCACAAGAAATTAGGTTCAATAATTCATCTTTTGGATGACACATGGGATACAAGAAAGGACTGAGGAGCTACGTGAAAAATAATTCAGAAGTCTTTTATAAGTATCTTATTAGCAGGAAGGTGAAGTGTGCCCAAAAACGCAATTTATACATGAAGGCAGATTCCTAGTGAGAACTTTGCATGTGTTTTTATCACGGTGAAAATGGAAGTGGTTGAGACACTGAATTGGCCAAAATTTGACCAAGGGGAGGTCTTGGAGAGACGGAAGTCTTCGGAGAATACTGAGACAAATATGGATGGCAATAGCAGAGATTCCAGTTGTAATCTTGCAGTCCTCCTCCAACCCAGGGCGAGTGCCAGAGGACTGGACAATTGCAAATGTTACACCCGTGTTCAAAAAAGGGTGTAAGGATAAGTGCAGCAACCAACAACCGGCCGGTTTAATCTCGGCGGTGCGGAAGCTTCTAGAAAGTGCGGAGTCGTGGATAGGGAGGAAGGTTGTTGAAGGATACAGCAGGATATAGATCAATTGTAAAGTTGGGCAGAGAAACAGCAGATGGAGCTTAATGCGGATAAAAGTGAGCTGATGCATTTTGGGAGGTGAAATGCAACAGGAAAGTGTACAGTAAATGGCAGGACCCTTAGGGACACCAATATACAGAGGGATCTTGGGTAAAAAGTCCATAGCTCCCTGAAAGTGGCAACACAAGTGGATAAGATGGTAGAGAAGACATTCAGTGTGCACATCTTCATTGGGTGGGGCATTATGTATAAAAACTGGCAAGACAAGTTGCAGTTGTATAAAACTTTAATTAGGGCACATTTAGAATGAGTATTGTGTCCAACTCTCTCCGCACACTGTAGGAAGGATGTGAAGGCTTTGGAGAGGGTGTAAAAGACATTTACCAGGATTGGAGTGTATTAGCAAAAAGAAGGGACTGGACAAGGGTCCCAACCCGAAACATCAGCTTTCCTGCTCCTCTGATGCTGCCTGGCCGCTGTGTTCATCCAGCTCCACACTGTGTTATCTATATTGGATAAATGGATTGTTTTCGCGAGAGTGTTGGACTGGTTCAGGGGTGACTGGTAGAAGTGTATAGAATTATATATAGAGGTGGATAGGGTGGACAGTCAGAGACTTTTTCCCAGAGTGGAAATGTCAAATACTAGGGAGCAAAGATTTAAGGTGAGAGGGAGAAAAGGAGATGTCTGAGGATGTTTTTTACCCAAAGGATGGTAGATGCCTGGAACGTGCTGCCGGAGGAGGTGGTAGCGATGTTTAAGAGTCATTTAGACAGACACATGAACAGCAGGGAATAGAGGGATATAGACCACATGCAGGCAGATGGGGTTAGTTCAGAATGGCATCAAGGTCAGCACAGGCATGGTGGGCCAAAGGGCCTGTATCTGTGCTGCACAGTTCTAAGTTCTAAATGACAACCTGGGACAAGATCATCAACATGGATGAAGTGTCAATTAATTAAGCAAAGCCAGCGCTGCTTGGTTAATGACAAATTGTGTTTAAGGAAGTTGCTGGAGTTTTCTGAAGCAGTTGGAGCATTGGCCGATTAGTATGCTCTTCTTGGGGCATTGCATTGTGTCTTGTGATGCCTGACGGCAATGCAGTCAGTTACCTGGAAGTTGAGTTCTTTAACACAGCGTTCCTGCTTCCTTATCCCTCTTTGTAACTCAGCATTCTTCTTCTTCTCAGTGGCAATTTCCTCCTCCAACTCTCGGTTCTGCAGTTTGAGAAAATATCCCCATGTTTTATTTCAAGGCAGCTCACCCCACTGAAATCCAGTACAAGGTGGAAATCGTGGACTTTAGCTGTGGAGTGTGAGGTTTTTTCCGAGTGGAAATCGCTGGAGGGGTCAGGAGTTTACATGCACCACGTTTGTATTTCATACAATGAGGCAGACGCTGTGCTGGCACAATTTACCAATGCCAAGGCTGTGCCAACATTGTCACCATGACAACCTTCATCCATGTCTGGCCGAGTGGAGGATGAGCATTTTTTATGAAAACCCACTGTCTGGGGCAGCGAATGTATGTAAACTTAGTAGGGGCCCAGTGGTTTTTCTGTGTGTACTCTCCTACTTGTTAATCCTCCCAAAATGCATCATGTCTGGCTTCTCAGGAGTAATTCCATTGGCCGCTGAGAGCTCATATAATCAGCCTGTCTATATTGTCCTGTATTATGAGGCTTTCCTCCTCAGTACTTACGAACTTTAGGGGGTGAATGTACTGACCATAACTCGTACATTCAGGTCAAGATCATTAATGTACACTACAAACATCAGGGACCCACCAAACCTTCTGGCACAGCACTGCACACAGGCTTCCACTCACTGAAACACCCTTCAATCATCACCCTCTGTTTTTCTGCCACTAAGTCCAATTTGGTTACAATTTGCCCTAGATCCCATGATCTCTTAGCTTCTTAACCATTTTGCCGTTTTGTCAAAACTTTGTCAAAAGCCTTACTGAATTCCATGTAGACTACATCAACCACATTACTCTCATCTACAAACCTAATCACCTCCTCAAACATTTCATTCAAATTTGTTAGACATGACCTTTCCCTTACAAAGCCATGTTGATATCCTTGATTACTCCATGTCTCCCCAAGTGCTGATTCATTCTGTCCTCAGTTTTTTCTAGGCTCACTGGATTTCTGATTTACTCTATCTCCCTTCTTGAGTAATGGTAACACTCTGGCCATTCTCCAATCCTCTGGTGGCCTCCCGAAGCCAGAGAGGATTTGAAAATTAAAGTCAGAACCCCTGTAATCTCGTCCCATGTATCTCACAGGAGCCTGGGATTCATCTCATCTGGGCTTGGGAACTTATCCACTTTCAAGTTCATTAAAACCACCAATCCCCTCTCCCCCTCAATGTTAATTTATTCAATTATATCAAAGTCTCCATTCTGTTTTCTATATGTACAATGTCCCTCTCTATAGTGAACAGAGATGCAAAATACTCATTTATAATATCAGCTGTGTCTTCCACTACACACGCATTGCCACTTTGGCCCCTAATGGGCCCTATTTGTTCCCCAGTTATTCTCTTGCCCTTAAGATACACATAAAACCCCTTTGGATTTTCATACATTTTACCCATCAGTATTTTTTCATAGCTCCTCTTCGCTTTTCGAATCTCCTCTTAAAATAACCCCCTGTACCTTTAATACTCCTCTAGGGATTAGCCATAGAGATCTACAGCACAGAAAAAGGCTCTTCACCCATTAAGTCTGTGCTGGCCAAAAATAACCTGCTAACAATTCTAATGTCATTTTCTAGCGCTTGGCCCATAACCTCACATGCCTTGGCATGGCAAGTGCCCACCTAAATACTTCTTAAATGTTATGGGGGGTTTCTGCCTCTAGCAGCCTTACAGGCCGATATCCACCTCGCTCTGGGTATAAAAGATTTTCCTCTCATCCCCTCTAAAACTTCTGCTCCTTAACGCAAATCGATACCCCACTTCCCCAGTCATTGATCCCTCCACCAAGGGCGAAACTTCATTCCTATCTGTCCTGTTTATGCCCCTCTGTAACTGTAAACACCTCGACCATGACCCCCCTCTTAGACTCCTCTGGTTCCAGGTTTTCTAAACTCTCTGTATCTATCATAAGTTTCACTTTTATTCCTCATCCAATCCTGTATGTTCCTTGATTTCTGGGGTTCTCAGGAATTTTGGGTCACAACCTTCACCTTTGCAGGAACATGCTGGCCCTCACTTTCACTCCCACTGACTCCGATATATTCCTGGAAAGACTCCTCATTGGTCTGCACAGCTGTAGTAAGACCTCCCGCGTTTGACGCTCCAAGCCCCTTGCAATGAAGGCCAACACACCACTGCCTTTCCCAATTACAGGCTGTACCTGAAAACTAAATGTTTGAGATTCATGTAGGAGGGTCTGTTTGCCAATTCAGGGCTTATAATCCACAATGTACAATGGTGACCTGGTTTCCATGGATAATTTATGATAGGGGCCTGGTTTCCATGGACACTGTACAATAGAGGGCCTGGTTTCCATGGATACTATACAATGGGAGTCTGGTTTCCATGGATACTGTACAATAGGGGCCTGGTTTCCATGGATACTGTACAATAGGGGCCTGGTTTCCATGGGCACTGTACAATGGGGGCCTAGTTTCTATGGACACCACGATGGCGGCCTGGTTTCCATGGATACTCTACGATGGAGGGCCTGGTTTCCATGGATACAGTACGGTGTTGGTTACCCAGCTCACCCGAGCCTCCATCTTCTGCAGCTGTTTCTTGCTGTTCTTCAGTGCCCCCATCTCAGCATCATCCAGCTGTTCCTGCAAGTCTTTGATGGTCAGTTCCAGGCTCTTTTTGGCCAATTCCAGGTTGGATTTGATTTCCTGTTCTTTCTTCAGCTTCTCAGTCACTGCTATTACCTGGACAATGAGAAACACTTGCAATCAGCACACTCTGGACTGAGAGTTTATACAAAACATCTCCATCGATGCCAAACTGCTTGAAGGTGCCAGGAGTCCCAAGTCCCACCCAGCATTTCTTATTTTCTTATTTCTTATCTTCATTTCAGTCCCAGGAGAGTGAAGACTTCACTAGGTAAGGTCAAAGGTCTGTTTTCGGTGCAATTGTATTGGATAGCCCCTTGGACTCGGTAACCCTGTGGATGTGGATGGTTGTGGGTAAGGTGCAAGGATGATTTTGGCTGTTATGAAGGTGCGGGAGGTGTTAGATTCTCTTTGAGACTATTATTTGTGCTGAAGATTATCTATGAAAGGTGTATAATCCCCTTTGGAACTCTCCATCATGTGAACACTTGTCATGATCTGTCAAGAATTGTCCAATAATGGATGGGGAGTGCTCTTCTCAATAGGTTGTAGACTGCAATATAGAAATGGAAGTAATACATTTATATTTATTGTCCTTTATGCATGGGTAATTGTGGAGACTCAGTGAGTTGGCATGGTTGGTGAAGGGGAAAGGTGGTGGATGAAGTACCCACTGAGTTGGCATAAGTATATGAATGGCCACAGGGAATAGCTAAAGATGGCTGGTTTGCATGGACTGGCACGAGTGTCAGTATGAGGGGTTTGTGGGGTGAAGGAAAGTGAGGAAGATGTGACAGGTGAGCACAGGTGGATTATTTTACATTGCTCCCCTTTTGGAGAGATAGGATAGTCCTTTACGTTCGGACCCTGGAGTGATTTGGTGGAGGTAAGGCACCCTATGGGATTGTGAACAGTCCTGCTGTGTTTATAAAGTGCTTAAGCTCATTGAGGTCAAGAAACTGAAAAGAATGTTTAGAAAGTTTAAAGAAAAGAAATGCTTGGTATTTCAGAGACTAACGGTGTAAAACTATTCTAGGGTTTATGCTGAATGACTAATTTACTATCAGTTTTGCAATGATGTGCCTATTCATACACCGCTTCACCTGTTTCTCTGGGGTATTTTGCTTTCGTATAAATTTATTTTCTGTCAGGATGCCTCATTGATACAAATAACATTCAGTACATTGAAGTTCCTTTAGCTAATCCCTAATGAAAACAAACATTTCCTCAACTGCTTAATTCCTTATGTCAATAAGCATTTCCATCCAATAAACAGTGTGGGTTCAATTTCCATCACAGGATGAGGTTACCATGAAGGACTCTCCTTCTCAACCACTCCCCTCATCTGAGGCACAGTGACCCTCAGGCTAAATGCTATCATCGTCTCTCTCTAATGAGAGAGCAGCCCTATGGTCTGGTTAACGGCCACTTGACATGAGTTGGCACAGAATTGACTTAGGAACTATAAAGGACTTTGGGAATGATTGGGGCTTAGGGAGTATGAGGGGAGATGCAGGTTGAGCACAGGAGTATGAGGGTCCATGGGGACCAAGGCCAATATGGACAGGCAGAGAGAGTGATAGGGTGAGAGCAGGAACAATGTTGGCTGTTTTAAACCTTATTTTTAAACTTTGAGCAGTGCGCTGGAACTCTGGGTCAGTCTTTCAGCCCAGGCCTCCTGAGGAAATGTGACAGCTTCTTTGCACTTCCAGGATTTCCCCGTGCGATTCCAAATCCTGCCCTGACCAACTCAGACTGAAACTCAGAGAGTGCGGGCTGCCATTGTTAAAGGCTTGGAACACAAACAGGTGGATCTGAGGATCCTTGGTGAATTTCTGCAGTGCATCTTGTAGATAGTACACACTGCTGCTACTGAGCATCGGTGGTGGAGGGAGTGAATGTTTGTGGATGTGGTGCCAATCAAGTGGGCTGCTTTGTCCTGGGTGGTGTCCAGCTTCTTGAGTGTTGTTGGGGCTGCCCCCATCCAGGCAAGTGGGGAGTGTTCCATCACACTCCTGATGTGTAGATGGTGGACAGGGAGTCAGGAAGTGAGTTACTCGCCACAGTAGTCCCAGCTTCTGGCCTGTTCTTGTAGCCGCTGTGTCTATGTGGTGAGTCCAGCTGAGTTTCTGGTCAATGATAATACCCAGGATGTCGGTAGTGGGGGATTCAGTGATGGTAACACCATTGACTATCAGGGTGTGGTGATTAGATTGTCTCTTATTGGTGTTGGTCATAGCCTGGCGTTTGTGTGGCGCGAATGTCACTTGCCACTTGTCAGCCCAATATCAGTGTTAGTTGGGTTCTGACAGGGAGTGGAGTTTGTGGAACTGGGACTATAACACAGGATTAGGGACGGTGACAGGTAGCGATCAGGCAGAAAGTGAATTCATTAAAAAAAACTGTAATTAGATAAAATCGAAAACTGCGGATGCTGGAAATCTGAAATAAAAACAGAAAGTGCTGGAGAAACTCAGCAGGTCTGGCGGCATCTGTAGAGGGAGAGAAAGCAGAGTTAATGTTTTGAGTCCTATTCTCAGAACACTGCGCTGTACTTACCTCGTTTCTGGCCTTTCGGCTGCTTTCAGCTTCCACACGGAATTCTTGCACTAATTTCTCAACTTGTTGATTCAGTTGCTCAATGTCATATTCATATTTTTTCTTCTGATTTATAAGATTTATGTTCTGAAGGTGGGAAAGGAAACAGCGTGAATTTACCGTCTAATCACACATTTATTGCAGTGCAGAGGAGGTCATTCAGCCCATCATTTCTGCTAACTAGCCTGGTTTTATTATCTAGTGCCAATCTTCTGCCTTTTCCCCATATCCCTGCACACATTTCTATCCAAACAACCATCCAACGCACCTCTAGCATCCCTCAACTGAACCTGCCCCCACCATATTTCCAGGCAGTGTCCCTTCGACTCGATGTCCCTATTAATAAACCTGAGGACACTGTATGCTTTATTGCCTGTTTTCTCCACTTGTCGTGCCACCTTCAATGATCTGTGCACAGCCTTAGAGTAAAGGGAAGACCTTTTAGAACGGAGATAAGGAAAAACTTCTTCAGCCAGAGGGAGTGGTGAATCTATGGAATTCAATGCCACAGAAGGCTGTGGAGGCAGGTCATTGAGTATATTTAAGACTGAGATAGATAGATTCTTGATTATCAAGGGTTACAGGGAGGAAGTGGGAGAATGGGGTTGAGGAGCTTATCAGCCATGATCGAATGGTGTAGCAGACTCGATGGGCTGAATGGCCTAATTTCTGCTCCTATGTCTTATGGTCTTAAACCCCAAGGCCACTCTGCTGCTGCACCACCTTTAGAATTGTCCCCCCTATTTTATACTGAAGTTTAGTCTTCTTCTGACCTCACCCTTCGGCAGTGACCTTGACATACTCAGGAGGTCCCAAACTACATTCCAGTGAAGTTTGGTCGTGCTGTATTTGAGGTAAAGTTGGCACCTAAATCACACACAGCAAGATCCCGACAACAACAACTATTGGACTATCTGTTTCTGGTGAGGTTTGTTAAGGGATGAGGACAGACCAGGAAAGCAGGGTTCTGAACATCTGTAAGGTGGTCCCTCAGCATTGTACTGCAGGATTAGCCTTGGCCTGGTGTTCACATCCTGTGGTGTGACCTGAACTCTCACTGTCCAGACTCAGAGACAAGAGACTGACCCTGAGTGAGTATGATCTCAGGAAGTCACTCCATCTTTGAAAGATTCATAGAGCTGTACAGCAGGGAAACAGACCCATGGATGGCATGGTGGCTCAGTGGTTAGTACTGCTGCCTCACAGCGCCAGGGACCTGGGTTCAATTCTAGCCTCGGGCGACTGTCTGTGTGGAGTTTGCACATTCTCCTTGTGTCTGCGTGGGTTTCCTCCGGGTGCTCCGGTTTCCTCCCACAGTGCAAAGATATGCAGGTTAGGTGGATTGGCCATGCTAAATTGCCCATAGTGTTCAGGGATGTGTAGGTTAGGCGCATTAGCCATGGGAAACGTGGGGTTACAGGGCAAGGGTAGAGGATGGATTTGGGTGGGAGGGTCGGTGTGGACTTGTTGGGCCAAATGGCCTGTTTCTACACTGTAGGGATTCTGTGATTCTGTCCATCTCGTCCATGCTGACCAGAAATCCTAAATTAATCCTGTCCCCTCTGCCAGCTTTTCACCCATATCCCCTTTAAACCTTTCCCATTCACACACCCATCCAGTCGCCTTTTAAATGTTGTTTGGGGAGTGAAACACTTAGAGGAGAGCGAGCGTGTTGTGGAGTGTTCAAAGGGGTTGCTGCTATGGGAAGGACACAATGGGCTGCTCATTGAGAACTGACACTATATTGGAAGAATAATGTTATTATTCAGCTGCTGGATGGAATTTTGTAGGAATTGGTGTGTCCTGTATCTTCACTCACTTGGATATTCTCCTCCTTTGACGGGGATCAGTGGGGAAGTGTACAAAGGCTTAGCAGGTTGACCATAGAGTTCCAATCCCAGTTTCTTTACAGAATCAACCAGTCCTGGTGTCGGGCTTGAATTTCCGCCCCAGTGACAACAGCATGACCCACTGAGTCACAAACCCTCCATGTGTGTAGGGCCATAGGAATAACGCTGCTCTCAAAGGCAGCACATGTCTTGCTAGGGTTACAACAGGTTCTGTCCCATTGGTTCCCTTCATTTCCTGTTCCCCTCCTGGGATTTTGGGAATGATGGAACTCCAATTTGCTCTTTATCTAAAGATCAAATCACTGAATTCCCACTGGGCAGAAAGAGGCCGTTCAGCCCATTGAGCCCGCACCAACCCGCTGGTTCTCACCGCTGGCCAGAAAGAGTCAGGGATCTAATGCTCAACAACTCGAACGTGGAGACGATGAGATACCTGAGAGAGGATCATTTGTATTCTGTCCCGCCCATCCTGCAGCTCTTGCTCTGCTGTCTTACAGCTGCGCTCTGCGGTTTCCAGTAGGTTTCGCACGGTCTCGATCTCAGCGCTCAGGGCGACCACATGGCGATTCGATGCACTCAGCTCCTCCTTCAGCCCCTCATTCAACAGAGAGCTAGACTCTAGCTGGGCCTGTAAATCCTGGCCAAAGAATAAAGCGAGATTGGTGAAACAGTGCTGTGGTTAACGGGGAGGGAGGGAATACAATTCACTGAGAGCACATAGGACAGCACACAACTCAATGTGTCACAATTGGAACAAGGTCAGCCAGCTGAACCTCGGGGAATATGAGTTCCCCGATTGGGGCTGTTCATCGGGTCCGATCAGGGAGCCCTGGCTGACACAAAAGGAAGAAGAATGTGAGGGATTTTGGGATTGGAATGCCTGACTCATTTTACAGACAGTGCTATCATCAAAGGCTATGCATTTGTAAATAAATGGTAATCGAAGACGGATGCTGGTCTCTGAAGAGTTGCTTCACACTGGATTACACACCTTCCAAACACCAACCCCCCCCAAGCCATGTCCGTGTCCCAGAGTGAAACAAACATTCTAATGATATTGTTCAAAAGTCTTGCTGTTGTTATGTTGTCTCTTTCCAAGGTTGTGTGTCATCACTATTTCCAGATTGCTTAATAAAAGGTAATAGTTCATAAATTGGACAATGACAGGAGGAGACCATTCAGCCCACTGTGCCTGGGATAGATCTTTGAAAGAGCTGCACACTCTCAGCATAGAAGCAGGCCATTTCACCCATCAGGCCCCAAGCTGGTCTTCATGCTGTGCGTGAAGCTTCTTCTTCTTCTGAGCCCAGCAATATTTCTTCAACTAATTTCTCCCTTATTGAGTGATTGAGGCCAGGAGAGGAGCAGGGATGGAGAGAACAAGAGATAGTGAGGCAGTGCTGGGTACACAGAGTGAGCGTGAGAGTGAGGGAAGGTGAAATGCTCTCGGAGTGAGTGTAAGGAGGGATGCCCCATGGTGAGTGTGAGTGGGCGTGAGTGTGAGTGAGTTAGAGTGAGGAGGGATTTCCCATGGTGAGTGTGAGTCAGTGTGAGGAGGGATGTACCATGGTGAGTGTGAGTGAGTGTGATGTTAGTGAGTCAGTGTGAATATGAGTGAGTGTGAGTGTGAGTCAGTGTGAGGATGGATGTCCCATGGTGAGTGAGTGTGAGTAAGAGTGAGTGTGAGTGAGAGTGAGTGAGTGTGAGTCAGTGTGTGAGTGTGTGTGTGTGTGAATGAGTGTGAGTGTGAGTGAGTGAGTGTATGTCAGTGTGAATGAGTGTGAGTGTGTGTGAGTGAGTGTGAGTGAAAGTGAGTGAAAGTTGCCCCCCAGGTTGATAGCGTTGTTAAGAAGGCGTACAGTATGTTAGGTTTTATTGGTAGAGGGATTGAGTTTCGGAGCCATGAGGTCATGTTGCAGCTGTACAAAACTCTGGTGCGGCCACACTTGGAGTATTGTGTACAGTTCTGGTCACCGCATTATAGGAAGGATGTGGAAGCATTGGAAAGGGTGCAGAGGAGATTTACCAGGAAGTTGCCTGGTATGGAGGGAAGGTCTTATGAGGAAAGGCTGAGGGACTTGAGGCTGTTTTCGTTAGAGAGAAGAAGGTTAAGAGGTGACTTGATAGAGACATACAAGATCATCAGAGGATTAGATAGGGTGGACAGTGGGAGCCTTTTTCCTCGGATGGTGATGGCTAGCACGAGGGGACATAGCTTTAAATTGAGGGGTGATAGATATAGGACAGATGTCAGAGGTAGGTTCTTTACTCAGAGAGTAGTAAGGGCGTGGAATGCCCTGCCTGCAAAAATAGTAGACTCGCCCACTTTAAGGGCATTTAAATGGTCATTGGATAAACATATGGATGATAATGGAATAGTTTAGGTTAGATGGGCTTCAGATTGGTTTCACAGGTCGGCGCAACATCGAGGGCCGAAGGGCCTGTACTGCGCTGTAATGTTCTATGTTCTATGTTCTTTCCTCCACATCATTTCCCACGCCTCATGTTCGGAATCTATTCCCCAGAAACACTTTGGAAATGAATGAGTGAGGGTTGCACACCAGTGTGAGGCATAGGTCAGGAGTTATAGCTGTCAGATCGCTGAGTCAGACATTTGTGGGTTCAAGTCCCACTCTGGACACTTACTGAGGGGGAGGCGATGGGCTAGTGATTATGTTACTGGACTAGTAATCCTGACCAGGTAATGTACTCATTAGAATAGGCAGGTGGTTGTTTTCGAGCGGCACAAACACAATAGACCAATAGAACTTTCCTTGTGCTGTAGATCTCTATGGCTGTTGAGTGAAAAATCTAGGCGGCCACTCCGAAGCAGCACCGTCCTCCTTCCCCTTTCTTCTGGTTCCCTCCTTCCGTCCTTCCCAAATTTGATCATCTCTCCACCCATGTGAGAAAATGACGCCCCACAAACCCCCGTCCCACCCCAAGAGGCTGGTATGTACCTAAGTAACTCCTTCCCATTAAGTAGTGAATTGGCATTAGCGGAGGAGGTGGTGTTTTGTGTGGGGTGGAGGGGTTGGTGCTGGAGATGAGGGAGTAGTGTTTGGAGACAAAAGTGTTGGAGATGATTTCCCCAGAGGAATTGGGGCGTTGGGGGTGGACTGGGAACTCATTATCCTGTGTTCCATGTTGAAGGCGTCATCGAGCCCCATCTCGTGCTTCATCAGCTGCGGTGTAACGGTGTGCTGGAAGGAATTCGGATTTGCCGCATCGGTTTCCCAAACCGCATCTTCTACGGAGAGTTCAAGCAGAGGTTAGCGGGTGAACTTTGTCGAAATAACCCTCAGAGTTTTGTCTGATTTTTCTTCTTGAAGATGTGAATCCTCATGGACTGCCTTGTGAAGACGGGCACAGCCTGGTAAATGTGTGGAGACTGAGCTTCATTGAGGTTGTTGCCTTGCTCACCGAGCTGGCTTGTTCTCGTTCAGACGTTTTGTCACCGTGCTAGGTGACATCATCAGTGGAGCCTCCGATGAAGCGATGTTGTTTTACTCCACTTGGAATTTATACTGTCCGGTTCATTATTGTGAGTAGTGTCATTTCCGGTTTTGTTCTGTTTTTACTTGAGAAAGGATGTACTGGCACTGGAGGGGGTGCAAAGGAGGTTCACTAGGTTGATTCCGGAGTTGAGGGGGTTGGCTTATGAGGAGAGACTGAGTAGATTGGGATTATATTCATTGGAATTCAGAAGATTGAGGGGGGATCTTATAGAAACATATAAAATTATGAAGAGAATAGATAAGATAGAAGTAGAGAGGATGTTTCCACTGGCAGGTGAAGCTAGGACAAGAGGGCATAGCCTCAAGATTAGAGGGAGCAGATTTAGGACTGAATTGAAAAGGAATTTCTTCACCCAGAGGGTTGTTAATCTATGGAATTCCTTGCCCAGTGAAGTAGTTGACGCTACTTCAGTAAACGTTTTTAAAGATAAGGTAGATTTTTTTTGAACAATAAAGGAATTAAGGGATACGGTGAGAACGCGGGTAAGTGGATCTGAGTCCATGAAAAGATCAGCCATGATCTTATTGAATGGCGGAGCAGGCTTGAAGGGCCAGACGGCCTACTCCTGCTCCTAGTTCTTATGTTCTTATGTATGAGTTTGTATGTGGGGTCCAATTCTGTATGTTTGTTGATTGTAGACACACACAGGAATTCCTAGAGGAATAGTTCTCCACCCATAATGCAATCAACAAACATATAGAATTGGACCCCATATACAAACCCATCAAAACCGGAAATGACAGTACTCACCATAACGGACCGGACAGTATAAATTCCAAGTGGAGTAGAATAACATCGCTTCGTCAGACGCTCCACTGATGATGTCACCTAGCACGGTGATGAAACGTCTGAAAGAGAAGAAGCCAGCTCGGCGAGCAAGTCAACAACCCGAGCTACAGATCTTTGCCAAAACTTTGAACTGAGCTTCATTCTCCCGAGTGGGAAAACTTGGGATCTTGGAAAACCATTCAGCCTCCATCTATTCCAACAGCTTGACCAAAGTGCATCCTAACTCTATTTTTTCTGTTACAAGGCCCTTCCCTCACAAAGGTCTACCAGTTCTAGCTTTGAAATTTTCAAGAGGGAATATTGGTATCATAATGGTATTTTCACTAGTAATCTAAATCCCAAACTAATGCTTTAGGATCATAGGTTCAAATGCTAGGATGGTAGACTGTGAAAGTTAAATTAATAAAGAATTTGGCATGAAAAAGCTAGCCTAATGTTAACCATATAACCAATATTGATTATCATTGAAGACCCATCTGGTTCACTAATGTCCTTTAGGGAAGGAAAGTGCCATCCTTACCTGGCCTGGCCTATATGTGACTCCAGACCCACAGCAAAGAGGCTGACTCTCTGGGCATTTAGGGATGGGCAATAAATGCTGCCTGGTCAGCGATGCCCACATTTTCATTAATGAACTTTTAAAATAATCGACCACCCCTGCCTCAATCTCCACCTTCAGCACATTCTACAGGATCGGAGTTCCAAGTATCCAACATCTACCCCCAACCCCCACTCTTTATGTCAGGCAGATCCTCCTGACATCATTGCTCAGGTACTGGGCTGCAGTTTTAAGGTATTACCCACTTAATTCTGCACTGCACACTCTGCCCAAGCAAGGGGGAGGTGATGGCCTAGTGGTACTATCGCTGGACTGTTAATCCAGAGACTCAGGTAATGTTCTGGGGACAATAAACGTGGAGCTGAACAAACACAGCAGATCAGACAGCATCAGAGGAACAGGACCTCTCTGCTGTGTTTGTCCACATTTATTGACTCTGGCTTCCAGCATCCCCAGTCCTTACTATCTCCTAGTCTTCTGGGGACCCAGGTTTGAATCCCCACCATGGAAGATGGTGGAATTTGAATTCAATAAAATATCTGGAATTAAGAATCTAATGATGACCGTGAATCCATTGTCGATTGTTGGAAAAACCCATCTGGTTCATTAATGTCCTTTAGCGAAGGAAACTGCCTGGTCTGGCCTACATGTGACTCCAGACCCACAGCAATGTGGTTGACTCTTAACTGCCCTCTGGGAAATTAGGGATGGGCAATAAATGATGCCTAGCCTGCAATGCCCTCATCCTGTGAATAAATTAAGAAGAAGCAACTTCCTTAATCATCTTAATTGCCTCCAATTAGATCAGTCCTCCATCATCCTGTATTCAAGGCAACATCTTTGTTGACAGGTTAGAGGGAGCAGCATTGTAACGTTTACTGAGGAAAATTAAACTTGGCAAAGTTGACCATCAGAAGGACATTACAAGACTCCAGGATGACAATAATGAGTAGAAGCAGTGGCTAATAGAAAGGGCACGAAGTGTAGTGGTCAAATGTTCTGGTAAGGGGAGTCCAGAGGCTTCATCAGTCAATACATTTAAGGCAACGATAGACAAATGTTTAGACTCTTGGGAAATCAGGAGATGGAGGGAGGAGGAGGGAGGGTGAGGTTGATGCCTGAGGTAAGCTGTGATCAGATTGGATGTTGGAGCAGGCACAGCTGGTTGTATGTGGTCCGTACCTGCCATTTCCGGTATTCCTGAGGGGCTGTGCTCTGAGCCAAATGCTGTGTTCTGGATGGAGTCTAGGCAGAGCTCCATATGTCTGTAAAAAATCTTCCACTGCTTGGTATTCCAGTCACATGAGATAGCTCTTCCAATTTTCTGTCCCCCACCAAAACCGACCATTTTTCCAGGGCCGACTCCAGGTAATTCTGCCCTCACTGACCGGGACTTGCCAGAATTTCAGTCGTTCGCTAACCATCAGATCCCAATGCTCTTAGCCCGATCATTAGCCCCATTAACAGTCTCTGAGCCAACACTGAAAGCTCCTGAGCTCACTCTTCACCCAGAATCGAGAAAACCTTATGAAAAATCCCAGTCCAAAAGACCATTCGAGAAAACCTATGTATACATCAATGAGAGGGTAGAATTAGGAAAGCGTCTCAGTTTTCCCACTGTACAGGGGGTCCCAATGTCAACTGGAGGTTCTCCTCACTCAACCTGTTTCTCAGGAATGTTTGAGACCTTGGCAAAGCTGCCTTTTCCGGACCATCATTCCCTATAGGGATTAGTGACCAACCACACAGTGTAGGCCAAAGGAGCAGGATCTCTCCTCTGAAGGACACAGAGAGAATGACTTGGCCTTTTGTAACAGCTTCCTTTGTCCTTTCTCCAGGTACTAGCCCTCAAGCATTGATTGGCACATTCCCTGGGCCATTCCCTGCTTGCTATCCCCCGATACCCATCTCTTCACTTTTACCAACCTGTGGATACGATTCTTACAGATACTGGATCTTGAACCCGAACGTCCTGCCAAAGGACACTTACGTGGACAGCATTACAGCAGCAGAGGCGCTCCTGGCATCACTGGCTATCGATCGGAGTCAGTATCGCTTTGGGCACACCAAGGTAAGAGGAGAGCGTGGGCGTGTGTGGTTAGAGTGACAAAGATGTCAAACATAGGCCAGGAAATACCAGGGAAGGGATGGGGAACACCACCTAATCTCCCGCCTGGGCACCCTGCAGCATGGAGGACCAACATGGAGTTCTCCAATTTCAAATAACCTTCCCACCCATCCCCCCCCTCCCCTTCCAGCCCCACCCCCTCCCTTTCATTCCACCTTCTGACCCTCCCCTCCAGCCACCAACCGATTCATCCCTCCCACCGACCAACCAGGTCTTACCTTCCACCAGTGTCCACCTATCACCACCATTTGGTCTCCACCCCTGTTCACCACCCCCCCGCCACCTTATCTGCAACTCATATTCCCCCTACCCCCACATCCAGCCCTGAAGAAGGGTAATACCAGAAACGTTGACTGCTCCTTTCCTCCAGATACTGCCTGGCCTGCAGTGTTCATCCAGCCTCCTGTGTGCCCACCTCCAGTTGGCCAACTGGATGCCAGTATGCTGTCTGTGTCATTCACTGGATCTGGGCATTCCTGGCTGGGCCAACATTTATTGCCCCGTCCCTAGTTGCTCCTTGAGAAGGTGGTGGTGAGCTGCCTTCTTGAACCGCTGCAGTCCACCTGCTGTAAGTTGACCCACGATGTCCTTAGGGAGGGAATTCCGGGACTGTGACCCAGTGACAGTGAAGGAACAGTGATATATTTCCATGTCAGGATGGTGAGTGGTTTGGAGGGGAACTTGCAGGGGGTGGTGTTCCCATTATCCTCTCTCTAACGGCTGTGTGGGTCTAAGGAATATTTGGCTTCATTCCTTAATACACAGAAATGGACCATTTTGCCCAACTAGTCCATGTGGCATTTATACTACTCACTCAGCCTTCTCTCACGTCTCCTTGTCTCAGTATCAGTATCAGTTTTGATTCCTGTTCCCCTCTGTGTGATAATGACATTGGTGAGGATGTACTGCTCCTGTAGTGTTCGCACTACAAGCCGAGTGAAGCAACTTTTGGAACAGGTCAGTCACGACCAGACAATAGGCTTAAATTATCGGAATTCCTTATGTTTCCAAAGTTACCTGACCCCATCTGTTAGCGTCCAAGGATTAGAATGGAGCAGTTCCTTGCGGGCAGGTTAAGAGTAATTCTGATGGAGTCTGAGGAACATGTGGGCCAATGGGAGCGAAAGGGGAGATGATGAAATAACCAGAGCGCAGCCTCAATCTTTTGTAACTCCCTACCCAACAGGTGTTCTTCAGAGCTGGTCTGCTCGGTTTACTGGAAGAAATGAGAGACAAGAGGCTGGCCAAGGTTCTGACTCTGATGCAAGCCAAATGTCGGGGCATGTTAGCACGTTTAGAGTTTGCGAAGTTGGTGAAGAAAAGGTGAGAGATCATAGGTTTATCATAGAATCCCTACAGTTTGGAAACAGGCCCTTTGGCCCAACAAGTCCACACCGACTCTCAGAGCACCTCCCCCATAACCCACCTAATCTACACATCCCTGAACACTACAGGCAATTTAGCATGGCCAATCCACCCAGTCTGCACATCTTTGGACTGTGGGAGGAAACCAGGGCATCTGGAGGAAACCCACGCAGACACGGGGAGAACATGCAAACTCCACACAGACAGTCGCCAGAGGGTATGATCAAACATGAGTCCCTGGCGCTGTGAGGTAGCAGTGCTAACCACTGAGCCCCCATGCCACCCCCTGAATGAGAAAGAGAATGATTGGCAATCTATTCAGAACCTATCGAATGGCAGCTGGCACCTTTGAACCAATCAGGGTCGAGGGATTGAGAAATGGCGCTGGGATCTTTGGGACTCCCAATATCAACGGACTACCATGGCCTGACCTATTCCCGGATTCCCATTCAGTGAGGCGGTAAAGTCATTAATAGCCAAAACAGAACAGGCAAAAATCTGGGCCATGCTCCATGATTGAGCAGCCCTAATGAATTCATACAAATCAGGCTCTTATTTCTGTCAATGGCACCCCAACAGGCTGACACGCATAGAAACCGAAAGGATGCTGTAAATCGGGAGCAAGAACAGAAGTTGCTGGAAAAGCTCAGCAAGATTGGCAGCATTTTGATCTAGTCTGACCAGTTTCTGAACAATTGAGCTTTACCAGCAATTTCCATTTTTGAGCCTGACAGGAATGGTGTTGGTGTGTCATGTTGAGGAACATTCAGTAACAATTCCCTAACTAGTGATAACAAACTTTAGTATTCAGCCAGTCAAAACACTTCATAATGTAACAAACCGGTATTACATCTGATTGAAATGAGTTAAAGTTCTAACAGGGCTGGACAGACTCACTGCAGGAAGATGTGTCCCATGGGTGGGGAGTCTAGAACTGAGGGACACAGACTCAGGAAATGGGGTCGACCATTTAGGACTGAGATGATGGAAAGATTTCTTCACTCAGAGCGTGGTGAACCTGTGGAATTTTCTACCACAGAGTGCAGGGGGGGAGGAGGGCCAAGTCCCTGAATATATTTCAGAAAGGCATGAATTTTTAGATGTTAAAGGCCTCAAGGTAAGGAGAGAGGAAACAAGAATACCGCATTGAGATAGACAATCAGCCCAGATCATACTGAATGGTGGAGCAGGCTCAAAGGGCTGAATGGCCTCCTTCTGCTACAAGTTTCTATGTACATCTCTCCTCACAGCTACGATTCCCCACCTCCAAAATATCCAAACCAAAGATTCACCGTGATCCTTAAGGGGTCTAAGGATATGGAGGAACAGGGACTGAATAGGATGATCAACTGTGATCATATTGAATGGTGGAGCAGGATTGAAGGGCCGAATGGCCTATTCCTGCCCCTGGTTTCTATGTTTTTACGTTTTACCACCACCTTCTCAAGGACAGCTAGGGAAGGGCAATAAATGCTGCCACATTCCCAGAGTGAGCCATTCCCAGTCCCTTTGATTTCTGTTTGATGTTATCTCTGGTATTTAAAAATCTCCCCCACCCTCTGACCTCCTGACACGGATGTCATCTGCGGAATAGGAGGGGGAGTTGAAATGGTTCGCGACTGGGAGGTGCAGTTGTTTAGTGCGAACCGAGCATAGGCTTGTGTCCATCCTGGGCCTCCTGCAGTGCCACAACGATGCCACCCGAAGGTTGCAGGAACAGCAACTCATATTCCGCTTGGGAACCCTGCAACCCAATTGTATCAATGTGGACTTCACAAGCTTCAAAATCTCCCCTCCTCCTACCGCATCCCAAAACCAGTCCAGCTCGTCCCCGCCTCCCTAACCTGTTCTTCCTCCCACCTATCCCCTCCTCCCACCTCAAGCCACACCCCCATTTCCTAGCTGCTAACCTCATCCCGCCCCCTTGACCTGTCCGTCCTCCCTGGACTGACCTATCCCCTTCCTAACTCCTCACCTTTACTGGCTCCATCCCCGCCTCTTTGACCTGTCTGTTTCCTCTCCACCTATCCTCTCCTCTATCCCTCTTCTATCCGCCTCCCCCTCTCTCCCTATTTATTTCAGAACCCCCTTCCCCTCCCCCTTTTCTGAAGAAGGGTCAGCCTTCCTGCTCCTCTGATGCTGCTTGGCCTGCTGTGTTCATCCAGCTCTACACCTTGTTATCTAACATCCTGGGGACCCAGGTTCAAATCCTGCTACAGCAGACAGTGGAATTTGAATTCAATAAGTATTTGAAATTAAGAATCTAATGATGACTGTGAATTGATTGTTGGGGAAAAACCCATCTGGTTCATTAATGCCCTTTAGGGAAGGAAACTACCATCCTTGCCTGGCCTACATGTGACTCTAGACCCCCAGTAATGTGGTTGACTCTTAACTGCCCTCTGGGCAATTAGGGATGGGCAATAAATGCTGACCTAGCCTGCAATGCCCTCATCCCGTTAATGAATAAAGAAATTAGTGTTCTCCTGAAGATTGATACAGCACTTATCCATGAGGGGAGACTGGACAAGCTTCATTTATTTTCACTTCAATGTCAGAGGCTGAGGGGGTGACTCGATAGACGTTTACAAAATTGAAAGGCATGGATACAATGGATAGTCTGAGTCTTTTGCCAAGGGTGGAAACGTCAATTACTAGGGGACGTAGGGGTGAGTTTAAAAGAGATGTGAGGGGCAAGTTTTTTTACACAGGGGGTGGTAAGTGCCTGGAATCTGCTGCCAGAGGATGTTGCTACAATAGCAACATTTAAGAGGTATCTTGACAGATATACCAATAGGCACGGAATAGAGGGATATAGACAGTGTCGAGGCAAAATGTTTTTAGGTGAGAAAGGCATCTTGTGTTTGTGGGCCGAATGGTCTGTTCCTGTGCGGTACTGTTCTTTTGCTCTTTCTCACCGACTTTACCTGCCTCCTCCCCAGTTTGGTCAGTCATTGCAATCTGTTGTAGGCCATTCAGCCCTTTAAGGATGTTCTCCCAGGCAGTCAGATGGCAACTGATCTTTCTGTCAACTCCGTGAGAACTGTTTCAGCACGACTGCCGCTCATCTGGGATTTTTCTCCTTTACTGCCTTTTCCAGGGACGCTATCCATATCATCCAGAGAAACTTACGGGCTTTTCAGAAGTTGAAGAACTGGAGTTGGATGATGCTGTTTTACAAAATCAAGCCTCTGCTGAAGTGTGCAGAGACAGAGAAACAGCTTCAGGAGCTGAAGGAATCGCTTGAGAAATCTGAGAGTATGAGGAAGGAGATGAAAGAACTGCATCAGCAGCTTATGCGTGAGAAAGATAGCCTTCTGCAGCAACTGCAGACTGTGAGCCTGACCTTCCTCATCTCCTTCTCTTTAATAGGAACCTTTGTGCTCATCAGAATTTAGCTCCTGTCCCAAAAGTACCTGTACCTTCTCGGAATGGAATTCACTTTAACCCCATTGACTATATTCGCGTGGATGTGCAAGATGCCATAGCACTGTTTCAAAGAAAAGGGAAAGGAGTTATGCCCACCCCACTCCCCTCACACTCCCCCATACCCCCACCCCAGTGCCCTGGACCAATATCTACCCTTCAATCAACATTAAAAATAAACAGATCAATATCACAACGCTGTTTCTTTTAATAGAGTCATACAGCACAGAAACAGACCCTTCGGTCCAACTTAACTGTGCTGACCAGACACCCATTTGCCAGCTTTTGGCCCGTATCCCTCTAAACTCTTCCTGTTCACGTACCCATTCAGTTGCCCTTTAAATGTTGGGATTATACCCGTCTGTTTGTATAAGCAGACTGCCTGGTGCTGTTTGTAGGACTCCACTGTGCGCAAGTTGGTTGGAATATTTCCAAAATGACAACAGCGTCTACACTTCCAAACAGAATCCCCAATTGGCTGGGAGGGAGTCTGAGATTTCCAGTGGGCTTTACATAACAGCAAGCTGAACACACCCTGAGAATGTGCCCAAATTTTTAAAAAATCTATATTTTAGAGAGAACCCTTCTCATAAAACAAGGGTTTAATCCCATGGAGTGTTAGAACACAGAACATAGAACATTACAGCGCAGTACAGGCCCTTCGGCCCGCGATGTTGCGCCGACCTGTGAAACCAATCTGAAGCCCATCTAACCTACACTATTCCATTATCATCCATATGTTTATCCAAAGACCATTTAAATGCCCTTAAAGTGGGCGAGTCTACTACTTTTGCAGGCAGGGCATTCCACGCCCTTACTACTCTCTGAGTAAAGAACCTACCTCTGACAACTACCTCTGAACTCTGACCTACCTCTGTTGTTGTTCTTTTAAAACTTGCTACTCATCGGCTTTGTATACACATTGAGGCAACTCCAGCTCAGACAATCTGAGCTTGGAGAAGAATATCTTTAACATTTTACAGCTTCTGGGAATTCAATGTATTCTTTACCCTGAGGGCTTGCATGAGGTTTGAAACTCTTGTTGCGGTTTTACTTTGAGAGTAAAATTTATGGTTATTTGGATCTGAGTAATGCTTAAAAAAGACTTTTCGTCTTGCACTAGTCAGGATGACTCGCAAGAATACCAATTTAATTGAAAAAACAGGATTTATATTGCATGAGAGGAGAGTGTTGACTGGTTCATAACTGGCCTCTAAACGGTAGAGGTGTTACCATGGAGAACCAATTAATGATGATCGACAGTTAGCTGTTAATTTTAAACAAAACCTGGCTATTAACTGTCAATTTTTAACCGTTACAACTTAAAATTTTAAACAAGGCCTAGCAGTTACTGTCAGTTACCAACTATTTCAACTTTAAACCAAACATGGGAGTTAACTGTCAACTGTTTAAAGTTTGAACAAAGCTTGGGTAGTTAACTGTCAATTGTTTCAAGTTTAAATTTTGTGCAAAGCCTGGCAGTTAACTGTCAATTGTTTAAATTGTAAACAAAAAGTTTGGTATGTTGACACATTCCCCACGGCAGTGCCTCTACCAGTCAGAGTGTACTTGCCAATACTCCTCTCATGTATTGTAAATGCTTTCTGCAAAATGTCTTCATGAGTGCAGGCTTCTGTAGAATTTATCTTGCAGACTGTTCCATTTTCCTGACATCCCTTCTAACAAACTGCCTCCAGGATCAGGAGAACCTGGCTGATGCTGAGGAGAGGTGCGATCTGCTGGTCAAGACCAAGCGACATCTAGAATCCAAAATCCAGGAGCTTCTGGAAGGTTTGGAGAGTCAGATGGAGATGAGCCAAGAGCTGGCCAACAGAAAGCAGAAATTGGAGGAGGAATGTAGGCAGATGAAGTCCAATATTGAAGCCTTGGAGACTACCCTGAGCAAAATGAGCAAGGAGAAACGTGCCACTGAAAATAAGGTATTAGCCATGAGCCGGATCTCCAGTCGGCACTGCCAATGGGTGTGGTGCTTTCTCAATCAGGAAATGCAATCTTTAGAAATACTGATTTGTAAAACCATTCAAGGGTTGATGTTTATTGTCCTACTCACTGCTGCCCTGTTCCAGCAAAATGGTTCAATAGGCTACATCGGAGGGCAAATAAACCTCAAATACAAGGTCACATTTAGGCCCAGATCAGATCGAGATGACAAGTTCTGAATATTTAGGAATAAATTACGCTCCTGTGACAACCCAATGTTTTTTTTTTAAATATTCTTACACACAAAAAAAGGCCATTCAGCCCAATTCAGCTGGTGTGTCTGGCCCACACACAAGCTGCCTCTCCAACCTCTTCATCTAAACCACTAGAATACCTTCCTATCTGTCTGACCTTCATACCATTATCCAGCTTCCCTCTAAAAACACTTCTGCCTGAAGCACTTGACATGGTCGTGAGCTCCACATTCTCACCGTTCTCTGGGTCAAGTAGGTTTCTCTGAATTCCCTTTTTGGATTTCCGAGTGACTGTCTTATATTTTTAACTCTAGTTCTGGCCTGTTTTGACCATACATCCCCAACCACCCTGCCACATTATCTCCTTAAGGCTGGGATTCACCCATCACCATGGAAAAAGTATGTTCAATGCCAAACCTCATGGAAAAAGTAAAATGTCGGCTAAATATAAGACGACGACCAAGATAATTGATTACAGAGCCTGCGCATGTTGTGCCAAGGATTCATATCCAGTGTTATGTTGAATGTGTTTTAGCAAGTACCATTATTAGGGAACTGGGGCCTAGAATTAAGGATCCCTGTTTCAAAGCAAGGGTTTGCTATTGTAGTCAGAGATGAGGAAAACTTTCTTTTCACACACAGCTGTGAATATTTAGAGCTCTCTCCCTCAAATGGCAGTGGAAGCAGAGTTTTTGAATATTTTTAAGGCTGGACTAGGAGCAGGAACAGGCTGTTCGACCCATCAAGGCCTCCTCCACCATTCAATACGATCATGGCTAATCGAACACGTCAATGCCTTTTACCCAGCCAACCCCTACAGGCCTGTACGCCATTGGAAATCAGCGTTCTGCCAACTCTATCTCAAATACACTCAAAGGCTGAGCTCCCATTGGCGTCAGAAATAGAGAATTCCAAAGATTCGCAAGCCTCTGAGGGAAAAAAAAATTCTCTTCATCCCAGTTCACATTACAGAAGAGGAGGTGCTGGGGGTATTAAAAATCATAGAGGTGGATAAATCTCCAGGACCTGATCAAATGTACCACAGGACATTGTGGGAAATTAGGGAAGAAATTGCACGACCCCTTGCAGAAATAGTTGTATCATCTACAACCACAGGTGAGGTCCCAGAGAACTAGAGAGTGGCTAATGTTGTGCCTTTGTTTAAGAAAGGCTGTAACGAGAAGCCAGGGATCTAGAGACTGGTGAGTCTGGCATCGGTGGTGGGTAAGTTGTTGGAGGGGATCCTGAGGGACAGGATTTACATGCAATTGGAAAGGCAAGGCCTGTTTGAGGATAGTCCGCATGGCTTTGTGCATGGGAAATCGTGTTTCACTAACTTGTTTGAGTTTTTTAAGGACGTGACCAAAAAGATAGATGAGGGCAGAGTGGTAGATGTTGTCTACATGGACTTTAGTAAAGCCTCTGACAAGGTTCCACATGGTAGAATGGTTAGAAAAGTTAGATCGCATGGGATTCAGGGAGAGCTAGCCAACTGGATACAAAATTGGCTTTACGGTAGGAGACAGAGGGTGGTGGTGTAGGGTTGTTTTTCAGACTTCAGACCTGTGACCAGCAATGTTCCATAGCCACCAGTGCTGGGTCCACTGTTGTTCATCATTTCAAATGAAAATTTAGGAGGCATGGTTAGTAAGTTTGCAGATGACACCAAAATTGGTGATACAGTGGACTGATAAAGGTTATCTAAGATTACAAAGGAATCTTGGTCTATTGGGCCAATGGGCTGAGGAGAGGCAGACGGAGTTTAATTCAGAAACAGAAACATAGAAACATAGAAGATAGGAGCAGGAGGAGGCCATTCGGCCCTTCGAGCCTGCTCTGCTGTTCTTCACAATCATGGCTGATCGTCCAACTCAATAGCCTAATCCTGCTTTCTCCACATAACCTTCAATCCCATTCGCCCCAAGTGCTATATCTAGTCACCTCTTGAATACATTCAATGATTTGGCATCAACTAGTTCCTGTGGTAATGAATTCCACAGGCTCACCACTCTTTGGGTGAAGAAATGTCTCCTCATCTCCGTCCTAAATCATCTACCCCGAATCCTCATACTGTAACCCCTGGCTCTGGACACACCCACCATCGGGAATATCCTCCCTGCATCTACCCTGTCCAGTCCTGTTAGAATTTTGTAAGTCTTTATGAGATCCCCTGTAATGTAAGGTGTTGCATTTTGGTAAGACAAACAAGGGCAGTTGTATACAGTTAATGGTAGGGCCCTGGAGAATATCATTGAACAGACCGACCTAGGGGTTCAGGTAGATAATTCTTTGAAATTTGCATCACAGGTAGACAGGGTGGTTAAGAAGGCGTTTAGCACACTTGCCTCCGTTGCTCAGACTATTGAGTATAGGAGTTGGGACATCATGTTACAGTTGTACAAGACGTTGATGAGGCCACTTTTGGAGTAATGTGTACGGTTCTGGTTGCCTTGGTATAGGAAGGATATTATTAAATTGGAGAAGGTTCAGAAGAGATTTACCAGGATGTTACCAAATACTGGAGGGCTTGAGTTATAAGGAGAGGCTGGATAGGCTGGGACTTTTATCCCTGGAGCGTACGATGATGAGGGGGGACCTTATAGAGGTTTATAAAATCATGAGGGGCATCGATAAGGTGAATTGCAAAAGTCTTTTCCCTAGGGTAGGGAAGTCCAAAATTAGACGGTGTATTTTTGAAGTGAGAGGAGAGAGATTTGAAAGGGACCCGAGGGCAACATTTTCACACAGAGGCATTTATGGTATGAACTGCCTCAGGATGTGGTAGAGGCTGGTACAATTTCAACATTTAAAAGACATTTGGACAGGTGCATGAATAGGCAAGGTGTAGAGAGATATGGACCAAAGGCAGGCAAATAGGACTAGTCTAGTTTGGAAAACCCAGTTGGCATGGACAAGTTGGACCGAAGGATCTGTTTCTGTGCTGTATGGCACTATGACCCTAATTAGCATCTCCATTCATTTGGAATTGTGCCCCTGGTTCCAGATTTCCCAACCAGGGAAAACCTTCTTACCTCCATCTACTCTGTCTATAGCTCGAAGTAGTTCGTAAGTTTCAGTTAGATCACTTTGGTGATTCATTTTGGAAGGACAAACTTGAAAGCAGAATACAGGTAGTGGAAAGATTCTTGGCAGTGTGGAGGAGCAGAGGGATCTCGGGGTTCATGTTCACAGTTCCCTGAAAGCTGCCACCCAGGTGGATAGAGTTGTTAAGAAGGCGTATGGTGTGTTAGCTTTCATTAATAGAGGGATCGAGTTCAAGAGCCTTGAAGTTATGCTCCAGCTATACAAAAGCCTGGTTCAGCCACATCTGGAGTATTGTGTCCAGTTCTGGTCGCCTCATTACAGGAAAGATGTGGAAGCGTTGGAAAAGGTGCAGAGGAGATTTACCAGGATGTTGCCTGGAATGGAGGGAAGGTCTTACGAGGAAAGGTTGAGAGAGCTAGGGCTTTTCTCTTTAGAACGACGAAGGATGAGAGGTAACTTGATAGAGGTGTACAAAATGATCAGAGGTATAGATAGAGTGGACAGACAGAGACTTTTTCCTAGGGTGGAGGTAGCTATTACGAGGGAACATAGTTTTAAAGTGAGTGGAGGTAGATATCGGGGAGACATCAGAGGTAGGTTCTTTACTCAGAGAGTGGTGGGGGCGTGGAATGCATTGCTGGAGAGGGTAGTGGACTCGGCCTCATTAGGGGCATTTAAGCGGCTATTAGATACGCATATGGATGATAGTATAAGGTAGGGGTGGAGGTTAGATAGACCTGAGGTTTAGGGTAAAAGTTCGGCACAACATCGTGGGCTGAAGGGTCTGTACTGTGCTATACTGTTCTCTGTTCCATGTTCTATCACCTTTGGCTCTTCAAAACTCTGAGGTATATTGACCCAGTTTCCGCAATCTTCCTTCATCGGACAGTGTTGCTATTCCGCAAATAAGTCAGGTCAACTTGCTCAATGGCAATCACATCTTCTCTCTGCTCAGACCACACAGATCTCCAGGTGCAGTCTAACCAAACTCCTATGGAATCGAAGTAAGATTTCACGACTGCTGTACTCAAATCCTCTTACAATAAAGGCTAACATTCCATTAGGCTTCCTAATATCTTCAGTGATTTATTGACAACAACTCTCTTTGTACATTTACACTTTCTGACCCCTTACCATTGAGGAAAAACCCTGCAATATCTGTTTGTCCTACGAAAGTAGACGACCTTATATTTTGCCACATTATATTCCACACAGGTAGATAGATTCTTAACAAATAGGGGATGAAAGGTGTTATCGAGGGTAGGCAGGAGTGTGGAATAAATGTTCCAAACTTACCTACTCCTGTTCCCAATTCGCATATAAACAGAGCAAATTAAAATGGTTCCAGATGATTGCGTTTCCTGGTTAGTAGCTTTTTAGCTAAATTAATTTAAATTCGCAAGCTGCCGTGGGTTGAATTTGACTGCAATGCCAGATCCAGAAATCAGTAACATACTCCATGTATATTGATTGCATGACTCTCTGTTTATTCTGACAACGTCAGAAATTTTAGGGACAAACCATTTCACCTGATGCCCATTTTTGTAACTGTAACACTAATTGTGTTAGCTGCCAGAGCTAATTGTGTCAGTTTATATTGGGGCAGCACGGTGGCCTCACAGTGCCAGGGACCCAGGTTCAATTCCGCTCTCAGGCGACTCTGTGTGGAGTTTGTATGTTCTCCCTGTGTCTGCATGGGTTTCCTCCGGGTGCTCCAGTTTCCTCCCACAGTCCAAAGATGTGCAGGTTAGGTGGATTAGCCAAGCTAAATTGCCCATGGTGTCTAGGAATGTGTAAATTAGGTGTGTTAGCCATGGGAAATGCAGGACTATAGGGGGATGGTTCTGGGTGGGATGCTCTTCAGACTTGTTGGACCAAGAGATAGTAGGAACTGCAGATGCTGGAAAATCTGAGACAACAAGGTGTAGAGCTGGATGAACACAGCAGGCCAAGCAGCATCAGAGGAGCAGGAAGGCTGATGTTTCGGGCCCAGACCCTTCATCAGAAATGGGGGAGGGGAAGGGGGTTTTGAAATAAATAGGGAGAGAGGGGGAGGCGGATAGAAGATGGATAGAGGAGAAGATAGGTGGAGAGGAGACAGACAGGTCAAAGAGGCGGGGATGGAGCCAGTAAAGGTGAGTGTAGGCGGGGAGGTAGGGAGGGGATAGGTCAGTCCAGGGAGAACGGACAGGTCAAGGGGGCGGGATGAGGTTAGTAGGTAGGAGATGGGGGTGCGGCTTGAGGTGGGAGGAGGGGATAGGTGGGAGGAAGAACAGGTTAGGGAGGCAGGGACGAGCTGGACTGGTTTTGGGATGCGGTAGGGGGAGGGGAGATTTTGAAGCTTGTGAAGTCCACATTGATACCAACGGGCTGCAGGGTTCCCTAGCGGAATATGAGTTGCTGTTCCTGCAACCTTCGGGTAGCATCGTTGTGGCACTGCAGGAGGCCCAGGATGCACATGTCGTCTGAGGAACGGGAGGGGGAGTTGAAATGGTTCGCGACTGGGAGGTGCAGTTGTTTATTGCGAACTGAGCATAGGTGTTCTGCAAAGCGGTCCTCCGCTTGGTTTCCCCAAGCCTCCGCTTGGTTTCCCCGATGTAGAGGAGGTCACAACGGGAACAGCGGATACAGTATACCACATTGGCAGATGTGCAGGTGAACATCTGCTTGATGTGGAAAGTCTTCTTGGGGCCTGGGATGGGGGTGAGGGAGGAGGTGTAGGAGCAGGTGTAGCACTTCCTGCGGTTGCAGGGAAAAGTCCCGGGTGTGTTGGGGCTGGAGGGGAGTGTGGAGTGGACAAGGGAGTCATGGAGAGAGTGGTCCCTCTGAAAGCAGATAAGGGTGGGGAGGGAAAGATGTCTTTGGTGGTGGGGTCGGATTGCAGATGGCGGAAGTGTCGGAGGATGATGCGTTGGATCCGGAGGTTGGTGGGGTGGTACGTGAGGACGAGGGGGATTCTGTTTTGGTTGTTATTGCGGGGAGGGGGTGTGTGGGATGAGTTGCGGGAAATGCAAGAGACACGGTTGAGGGCGTTCTCGACCACTGAGGGGGGGAAGTTGCGGTCCTTGAAAAACGAGGATACCTGAGATGTACGGGAGCGGAATGCCTCATCCTGGGAGCAGATGCGGCAGAGGCATCATCTCTCAAACCATCCACAACCTCATCACCTCAGATGACCTCACACCCACGACCTCCAACCTCATCGTTCCCCAACCCCGCACCGCCTGCTTCTATCTCCTTCCCAAAATCCACAAATCTGACTGCCCTGGTCGACCCATTGTCTCCGCCTGCTCCTGCCCCACCGAACTGATCTCCAACTATCTCGACTCCATTTTCTCCCCCTTGGTCCAGGAACTCCCTACCTACGTCCGTGACACCACCCACACCCTCCACCTCCTCCAGAACTTCCAATTCCCCGGTCCCCAACACCTCATCTTTACCATGGACGTCCAGTCCCCATACACCTGCATTCCCCATGCAGATGGCCTTAAGGCCCTCTGCTTCTTCCTGTACCGCAGGCCCGACCAGTCCCCCTCCGCTGATACCCTCATCCACTTAGCCGAACTCATCCTCACCCTCAACAATTTCTCTTTCAATTCCTCCCACTTCCTAAAGACAAAGGGGGTGGCCATGGGTACCCGCATGGGCCCAAGCTATGCCTGCCTCTTTGTAGGTTACGTGGAACAATCCCTCTTCCGTACCTACACTGGCCCTTAACCCCACCTCTTCCTCCGTTACATTGATGACTGTATCGGCGCTGCCTCGTGCTCCCACGAGGAGCTCGAACAGTTCATCCACTTCACCAACACCTTCCAA